AAATCAAAAACAAAAAAAAAACAAGAAAGGGAGAAACTTGGTGGGATTACGAGAGGTCTCGCTTGAGTTCTTGTTTGTAGCCGAGCTCGTGCAGGCGTGCATGGCCCGAATCCCCTGAATCGCGGGTAAGCGAGGGGAGCGGCGATGGCTGCTCCTTCTTTTCTCGGCGGTCCCAAACCATCTTCTTTTCCTTTCTCGCCTCTTTGTGTGTGTGAGAGAGAGAGAGAGAGCAGAGAAAGGTTTATTAGAGATTCTCTCTCGCAAAAATTTATCACCCCCTTTCTCTCTCGCTCACTTATCTAGAGAGAGATGAATCAAGATTCAACTACTAAAATATATAATAATGAATATTCATTATATATTCATTATTGGAATATTCAGAATTTTTTACGGGGGAAAAAATGGGATTTGTGGTATTTTATGCTTCAAGTGTGAAGTGCAGATTTTCTAATGGTTTGTTGGGTGTAAAGAATGAGAGAGAAAGAAGAAGCGTGTGTGGTCAAACATAGCTAGCGGAGGAATTGGAAATTTTTCTGTTATTTTGTTTTCCTTCCCCTCTAAATTAAAAATGTATTAACAGCAATTAGTAGGCAAGGATCTTCTCTGCAATCTATGAGAGAGTCAACGAGTAAGGGCACTGGAGAGTAGAGCCATGTAGCCCCACAAGAAGCTTTTTCTATTGAAAGCAATAATTATTGAAAAATATATATTTTTTATACTCTTATTCATAAGTTGATATAAGTATATAAAAAATTTTTATGGAGTCATCCATCACTTAATGTATTGACACATGTCCAAAGTATATTTATTGTATGACACATGTCAATACACTATTTGTGAATAAGTGTGGATGACTCCACAAGTCAGTAACATCCGATGGCTACATAGCAAAACTGTAAGTATATAATATAGGTTATACTCATCTCATTCATGCGTATAATCTAGGGCGTTCTCAGATGTACGCTCAAAACGAGTTTTTTTGAATAACTATAGTTAATTGTAGAAAAGTTGGTATGGTCAGTTTTAGTGAAATTTTGAGATTATATTAAAATAATATTTAAAATAAAATAATTAAAATTGATTTGATGTAACAGTAGAAGAAATATGATGAAATTAGTTAAAATTATGTATGTGGATGAATAGTTTATTAAAGTTGATATGATGTGTAAGAATTTTTTTTCAGATAAATTTTGAGTATGAGTTTGAAAAAATTATAAACGAACACCCTTTCAGTGTTCGCATCATATGCAGTATTTGTGACAGTTTTTTTACATTCAAAATATCCCACTTTAATATATTAATAGAAATAAAAATATGACATTTCATTTGATAAGTATATATATTTTATATAAAAATATATAATTGTCTAACTATTAAAATATCTAACAACAACATTTATGGTCATATAATTCAGTTGATTAAAATACCATACCGTACCCTTTGGTAATACCGGTAATTCGGCCATTGGAACGGTACAATTGCACACAAAATATCGAATGTACAACTAAATCAGTCTGTACTGGGATCATACCACAAATATCTAAAAATACAGGTCCAAAATACCGGTAAAAAAAATATTAATTTGAAAACATAAAATTTAAGTTGGTAGTTATAATGTTTTATTTTTATCTCATTGAGAAGTTGAAATTAATGATTATGATCATTTATTTTTTACTTTTCTGCATTTGGTATTATATATTTTTATGTGTAATTTATACATATCATTATATTTGATAGTCCGGTAAAACCACTGATATTACCGGTCCGACTAGTAATACCGCGTACCCGTGGCTAGACCGGTGTGATTACCAATACGGTATTTAAAACACTAATATAAATGTATTCAAGGGGGTAGGGAGGTGAGCTCTAATGGTTGTGGAAGAGTCTAATTTGATATTATTTTATTATACTGATAATATTGAGGATAGTGAGTTTGGGTTAAAGTTGAGTTAAATTTTGAGTATAGATTGAAATAATTTATAAACAAACACCCTCTTAGTGTTCGCACCATATGAAGTATTTGTGACAATTTTTTTACATTCCGAATATCTAAGTTTAAGCTATAATAGAAATAAAAATATGACATTTCATTTGATAAGTATATATATTTTATACAAAAAAAATATATAATTGTATAACTACTAAAATATCTAACAACAATATTTATGGTTAATACAAGTGTTTTTTGGAAAATGAATGATCATTCCCTTACTCATTCTTTATCCCATGATTGATATATTTTTTTAAAAATGAATGACCATTCCAATGGGAATGGCAAAACCGATCTTCATGGGATTAGTCATTCCATAGTTAATGCAAGGTTTTCTTATTCTCATATTTGTAGGAATCAATTTTTCAAAAAATAAAATTAACAAATAATAATAAAAAAAAAATTAAGAAAGACAATTGTGAAATCTCGATAAACATAAAATTAAATCTCTAAACAATATAATATGCCATAATTCATTCCAAATAAAAATGTCACCCACAAATATATTTAAATTTTCAAAGTAGATTTACTTCCAAAAGACATACCAATACATATTTATTTACATGTGTGAACTGTACAACTGATTTTCTATAAGTGGTAAGTCAAAAAATTTGAACCCTACTTTTTATCAACCTTCCACAAATGAATCATTTATCATCCTATTTCAATATATATAGATAAAAAAAATAAGAGAAGTAAAAAAAATATATATATATATATATATTTCCAATTTAACTTGTTATTGTTTTTTCTTTTTATACTTATGAAAAATCAAATTTTAATAATCTCTTCTCACAATCTCCTCTACTAAAAAAGGTTGGTACCCAAAATTTTTCAAAATTAGCAATTTTGACACAATAAGTCAATTGAATCATTTGTTTCCCAAATACCAAATTAAAAGTTTTGACATGTCAAACCTCTTGTTCATTATCAAACCTGCAATTTGAACTCAAAGTTCTATTTTCCAAACAAGACATATATGCAACTACAAAGTAACAAAACTATACCATAAGGTTAGATGTGAATATTATCCCAAACATATTATACTGTAGCGGCCCCAAAATAAAATGTATGCGGCCCCCCCAAAAAAAAGTTGTACACCAATAATGTTTTCATATAATTTTAAAATATTCTTAAAAAAAAAGTCTATAGTTTTTATATCAAGATAAAATTTTTCTGAAGAAAAATCTTGTTCTTAACCCAAGTGTCGTGAAAGTCAGGAAAGATAGCGAGCACGATCAGTCCATTGGGGACCTCAGCGATATTTAAGAGATTGAGGAAAGCCCCCAGTACTCTATATTCGTTTGTCTTTTTGGTTTTAATAATAGATTGACCAATATACCACCATTTTTAATATGGGTAGGTCTACCGACATGCTATGAGAGATAGTTGGCCATTTATATTCTTTCAAAAATATATATACTTTCATATTAAAATATTATATTTAAAATAAAACATAGATAAAAATACTAAATATTGTAGTATAAGTATGTATTTTTTATAATAAAGTATACATATTTAACGTTGAGACAACTTAACAACAAGATTTGTGTTTAATAATAATTCAGACTAAAATTACCTATACATCAAAGTACAATACATTAATATTAAAAAAATTAAGTAAATATTCAATATATATATATATATAATAAAATGATGAATAATGTGAATACACATATAAGTTATATTAACTAATATACATCATTAAATATTTAAGATTAGTGTTGTAATCATACCGAACAAGCCAAATTTGAATATTTTGATTCGTGTTCGATTATTCTAGAAGACTGTATATGTTCGTTTCGTTTATTTGAGTTCGTTTGTTTAATTGTTCGTCAAATTTTGAGTTTATTTGTATTCGAATAATTTAGTATACAAACTTTTTGAATTATTTGATGAACTCGAGATGTGTTCGTTCAAATTCAAAAATAAAAATATAAACAAAAAATACAAAAAATATTTTCATATTTTAGATTATTTTGTTAAGAATACCATACATACAATAAATATAAAAAAAACAAAATTACATTGAATTAATATTTGCTTACATTAGCGAACGATCGTGAACGAGCTCGTTTTCACTCAACTATTAAACGAGCTTAATACTTTGTTTGAATTCAACCCAGTTAACAAATGACCGAACTCTTGTCAAATTCAAACGAGCTCGAAGGAGCATTCGATTCGTTAACCACCATACAACAGATAATAAAAGAGATGCATTAGTGGAAACTATTCATTTGGGATTCTTAAGGATTTGTTGGGAGGAGGTGTATTCGTTTAGGATTTTTAAAGACTTTTTAGTACTTTAGAAATTCAAGTGTATTTAATTTAGATTTTTTAAGACTTTTCAAAGTCTTGGGGAATTGATTTGAGATTTTAAAAAGTTTTACAGCATCATGAGTATTTATTATATTTGAAACTAGGATTTGTTGAGATTTTAAGAGAAAAATCATATAAAAAATCCTACTTCAAATCTCACCTCTAGACTTAAGATTTCACATTATTCCTCCTAAATCAGAAAATCATAAGAAGTCTCAAATCTCATAAAGTTTCAAAATGTCACTCGAAATTCCAAACGAGTACACAATATTCTTAATGTGTTCGGTTTGAACTTCTTAAGACTTTTAAGTCTGGTGTATTCGGCGACTTTTTCCTTCTCCAAGTAACCTTTTCACCGAAAACCAAAAAGTAAACTTTATATCTAAAACTTTTGGTCTCCCCGCCTCCCCATTCTCCCTCTCCTTCCTCCGGGCGGTCGGCGCCGAGGCCAGCAATCTCGCCCCCTCCTCCTGTGCATTTTTTGCGGGCCATGGACGGCGTTAGGTGGGTCGGCTTCCGTGTTGTTTCAAGGGCGGCCGATTTTACCTTCGTGCTGTCTTATGGGTGGTCGAACGTCAGGTTTTGCCCGCCATGTGCGATGCCGTGGCCGACGTCCTAGTCCCCCCTCTTCTTTCGAGCTTTTTCGTCTCTGGAGCCGACCTAGGGCCAGTTCTTCTTGCATCTGGGGTGGGTGGCTGGTTCTTCTTGTGTTTGGGGTGGGTGGCTAGTGGGTTGCGGCCGTTGAGTGCTGATTGAAGGTGATCGTTTGCATTGAAGACTTAATCGGGGCCGAGGGTCTCAGATCTGGCTAGCTATAGCTCTGGACTGATATTCTTGATTGTGATCGGGCTCTTCTTTGTGAATTATCTTCTATTCAGATGTTCTTAGACGGTGGCCGGAGAGGGCTTTATTGTACTATTTAGGTGTGTGTGGTAGTTGTTTTTTTTTATTTAAGTTTTTCAGTTCTAATCCAGCTGCGTCTGGTTTTAGTCTCCTTTATAGAGTTGTGTAGTCTCTTTTGTTATAGTATCCTTTTTGGAATTCGGTTGTACCCCTTTGGTCGTCTGTGCAATTTCAAGAAGGGTGGATCCAGTCTTTGTACTGTTTCTTATAATGTCTGTTGACACATTGATGTAATTTTTATGAGTTTTTCAGTTTAATATAATTATCATTTTGAAAAAACAAAAAAGATCTGGGGTAATTGAGATTTCAAAAAGTCTTAACAAATAACCAAATTTTAAATTATTTGACATTAAAATTTATTAAGTCTTTTAAAATTTTATGAGATTTCACGAACAAAAACCTTATACAAATCCCACCTCAAAACATAGCAATTGTTTACTTGATTTATGAGTTATGACACCTAAATTAATTATCTATGTAAAGAAGTCACTGGATGAGATAAATATAAAAATATAATATTAATTTTAAAATACGTCTCTTGAACCAAAAAAATGGTATAGAGGTTTTTATAAGTTTGTATCTTCCATAAACCTTTAGTTTGAATTTATAATTATTTAATATTGTTAGTAGTTATTATATGATATAATAATTAGAAAATATTACTATACTTAATTTTTTAAAAAATGACTGTTAGTTTCCACATTTATATAAAAAAATGATGGGAAATTTTTGTGATAGCATTAATTAATTTGCCTACATTTATATATAGATAATATTTCCATACTTATATTTATTAATTACTTATGAAAAAAAACTAATTTTAATTTTTATAAACTAGTTGTTTTATTCTAAAACTCATGTTAATTTTTATTTTATTTTTCTTTGAAATATGCAATAAAACTTCTTTCTTTTTATGGTATATAATGAGAACACATCGATATATTCTATCAAAGTTTGATTTCTATTATTTTAATAATGTAATTTAACTGAACAAGATGTGTGTGTGTGTGCATATATATAGTTATATGTTGCATTATATGTTGCATACAAGGTGAACTCCTATTCTTTATATGATAGTAATAAGGATTTAGTCCAGCATATGATATCCAAACATTATTAATTATACGCATAAAACTTTTATAAGAAGAAAAATTCCTAATAACAATATTAAGAATTTACCAGCCAGTGAGCCACGATGTGAAAGGACCCCAATAATCACCACCAAGCTTTGCGCTCCAAAAATACAGCCCACCTGAAACTGGATAAGCTGAGCAGATCTCTGACAGAGACAGGCCCACTATGATAGTCATTAGGCCCACAACTGGCCACCCATAAATCATAGTTACCGGCCCACCAAAAGCCAGGCCCTGACTGTATAATGTAGTTATGCCCGTCAGGATTGAGATGATCGAGAAAGTCACAGAAAAATTGGCAACAAACCTGTTCACATATGAATTCAAAATAGGCCCAACTCAAATTAGTCTAGTTTCTGGACGTTTTACATGTTTCTATATTTTTTTCCATTTTTTTTTATGAAAATACATCATTTAACGTAAAATTATATATAAATATTTTATAACGAATTATAAATTTAAATTGATGCAATGTAGAAACTATATGACAAAATTAAATTATAAATCAATCAATCGTGAATGGTAAAAGTTAATATATTTATAATTAAAAACATAAATACTTCGTAGAGTGTAAATAAAAATAAAAATAAAAAAAGTGGGTGTAATTTATCTAGTTTCTGACTTTCTGTATGGCCTTTAGCCTTTGGGGTGTATTTTTTCCTTTTTAATTAGTTTGTGTTACCATATATATTCAAAAACATTATAAAATGCCTAAACTTTCTTGATTATATTTCAAAACTTATATCCAAGCATCCCTGAAGCTTTCTCGATTATATTTCTCCTCTCAGCAAAATAACTCAAGTTACAATTACTTAACCAATAAAGTGGTAGACAATGAAGTGCATATTAAGAATTATACCTTACATGGCGAAACAACATTAACATTAAAAATAATGTTTAACTATAAAAAACGGCACGCACTTTCAAGGTCAGCAGCGAAGTTATTTTAACGTTCGATAAACTGTATCGATATAGGTGAGTGTGCCAAATCTACACAATATCACTTAAAATATTCGAAATACACTGTGTTCCAAACAATTTTTCGAATAGCAATTTTTTTTTTTTGGCTGCAAATGTACTTTATTAAATAGGAAAAATATATTAAATAAGAATGTTACAACATTTCTCTTGTTTTTTTTATATATATATATATATATAATTCTCGATTGTGCTGATGTAATAAGTAGCAGACTTGCATATTTCAGGATCCAATTTGTCATAGTTCTATGCTTTGAATTGATATATAATTAGACTCGGGTGTAATATCAGTGTTAATTAGACATAGTTATTTTCATAATATATTAAATATTTTCTTTCATTGAAACAATCATTATTTTTTTCATTCCATATTTTTCTTCTACAGCTACCTTATATTTTCCTTTTTGTTTCATTTTTTTCTATTAAATTTCTTTACTAATCAATCATATTAACTTATTTCTCAATCTTTCTCTCCAATATTAATATTTCACTAATTTCGAAGGTGAACTAATATGATATTATTCTTTAAAAAAAGATATTTATTTAAAATCTAATTGTATGTTGTCAATTTAATAATAATAAATAATTAATTATTCAAATTCTAAAGTTACATTTAAAGTTAAAAAACTGTGCAACAAGACTGATACGACACTTGATCAATTAAACATCTAATTAAATAAAAAATTAATCTATCTTGCATAATATTCAATAGGCATATTCTACATTTATGCATATACATATCACCATATTATTTTTATTTATTTAAGATATATACTTTTGTACTCATTTCATAGTAAATAATATTGAGTAAATAATATTGATATTCTTATATGGTATAAATAAAAAAAAAAATCAATATGAGTTGATATTTTTATTTTTAATTAAAACACACAGTGATGTTTTATATAAAATTAATTTATTTTAGTTTTTAAAGAAAATTTTCAAAATAAAAGCTTTAAATTTTTTTAACATATACTTCTTAATTCAACATCTGTGTAATATACAAATATTGTACTAGTTAAATAAATAAACATAAAAAAACATTATCAACAAATGCCGTGTACTGAAAATAATTATGCACAAGTCATATAATAAGCACCCGAACGAAATATCTCCCTTTCAGGTTCACAGCCTTCACGACAACCGGTTTTTATTGCCGGAATTTTCTACAATTAAGACGGAGCAAAATTTTCCGGCAGTAAGAATCGATATATCTCCACCCGTGAATATAAATAATTGTTATTAAATAAAATAAAATAAAATCCAATTCAAAAGCCCACGCATATACTGACATACACACACAGAGAGCTGGAGTGGAGATAAATTGATGGCGAATTTCAGTACCAAAATAGAAAAATGAAAGAAGAAAAATATAGAGAAATAAAAGGCGCGTACGAGAGGCTGCGGCGGAGCTCCTGCTTGTAGCCCAGCTGATTGAGGCGCGAATCATCGGAGCTGCGGAGGAGATGGTACGGAGCTTCGTCGGCGCCGGCCAAGGCTCTTATCGGAGTTCCCATTCTCCGATTAAATCCTGGTGGATCGTTCAATCTGCTTTCTGAATCTAATGGTTTAAAATTAAAATCTCTGTGAACTCACAGATTTGGTAATCGATGATTATCTCGTGTGTTGTGTGTGAGAGAGGAATTTCGATCTCTCTCAAGCGAACTTCATATAAATTTGAGACAGATGGGTTGTTATTATAAGAGAGCAAATAAATGAAGAGAAGAAATTTGGTAACCGATGTCCAATGAGATCATACTATTACTAGTGTACTCGCCCGTGCGTAGCACGGTGGGTTTATTCCTCAAACCCTTTTTTCTAAACTTTATTTTAAATATTTTTGCTTAAAAATTAATTATTTGATTAAAAAAAAAAAAAGAATACAAAGTATAAAAAAATAATATGTTATGAAACACTTCTCTATACACAATATTCTTGGTTTGGTAAAAGTTTAAGTATTTGATATTTTTATATTAAATATTAGTCATCTTTAATGCATAAAATTCACGTTTTAGAAGCTCATAAGACTTGTCAATCATCCGTTCACACTCTCTATCCCAACATATGAAAGTGCCATTTGTAGAAGCATCAACAACTCCAAATTGAATCATGTATCTTTATTAATTAAAAATTATTTAATATTATGAAAAAAAAAAAAAAATTTATTCTAACCGTGCAGTGCCATGTGTATGGGTGCACTTAGTGCAATGCATCTTGCTATTGCACCTTTGCACACAATGTATCACCAATTATCAATAATCGAGTCGATTGTGGGACAAACTCATGTGTCCATAGCCTTTAAATAATTTTAATCATAGCAATAAAATATGTATAACATATATATGGAATGATTTTATTAACTAAAATTGAAATATGTTTTTTGTATTATGGAATCAGATTTTAGCATTTATATTGAAAAAAAATATGAAATATAATATATTATACAAAAATGAAATTTACTTTCCTAACTGTAGTGGACTTAAATTGTGCTACCTTATGGAATTAGATTTTAGCATTTATGTTGAAAAAATAATTTATTATGTTTAGTAATATATTTAGGCAGGATTTTAGATGATTATTAGTTACTATTATTAGATGATGTTTAGTAATATATTTAGGAGGGATTTTAGATAATTTTTAGTTACTATTATCATATTATTTAGGTAGCCTCTTTATATATTAAATGTAAAAGTATCTAAAATATTATATATTATTTTTAAAAAATGTGAAAGTAGCTAAATTTTTTTACTTCATCTTGAAGGGCTGAAAAATTTGGCACGGAACTGCAATTGCTTTCTCGCCCAAAAATTTCTGTGGAAAATTGAGATATCTTTTTCACGCGTTATGCTTGCCAAAAAAATTTCCAGAAAATAACGGCAGCATATCTCGGAATCCCATTTTCAAAAGTCAGTCTTATATACGATGATGGATTAGCGAACAGAGGTCCTACGAAGCCACTTCTGTCATAACGAAGATTGATTCTATTTGATTGGCCAAGCACTCACTCGGACAGTGTTCTTCCAGCACTCGTGCCTGCTTAGGTTAATTACATCGAACCTTGTCTCTGTTCTGTTTGAAGGAATATTTCCCACCACAGAGTTTGAGTTTTGAGACAAATTTTTATTGTTTACAGTTGTCAATAAATAAATCACTATGAATACCTCAAGGTTGTACAATTCAATAAACATTCTAAAGTTGACACTCTGATAATAACTTCTCTGATAATATATCTTCTACTATTGTAGATAACTGATCTTTTATCCATACATTACTTTACTATCACAAAGATTTACATGAATTGAATCATCTATTATATTATTATTATTCATACTCAACACACATAGAAATGAAGCAACAATGAAATGACCCAGATATAAATCAAGGGCAGCAGATAGCTCTACTTTCTGCAAATAATAAATATATGGGTCAAAAAATGTTTACCACCCAACCTTTGGCTGTTTTCAACCGCACAAACTTGTTTTGTGCCATAACTCCATACAAACTTTTCATTTTCATCAATCTAACCTATAAACTACAAGAAAGAAGGTTTCAATTTTTTAGAAGTGTGAAATTTTGAGGGCGATTGTGTCTTTTTCACACGGTTTATTTAGTTTGATGCCTACTTGTAATTTGGCAGTCCTCCGAGCACTGTGGGGTTATCATCAGCACCGGGTTTATTAGCTTACCAGAGTATGTAGTTGTCACCTCTCGAATTATAATTATTCACAAAATCAGTGTACATATCATCCACCAAGCAATCATGTATAGACTTGCCTCCACCCAAATTACAATTTGTGTGCATAGTATTCTGAGAACCAGCCGACTCTCTTCTTTTTTGGTTGCTTTCGATAGTTCCATTGTCTGCAAATTTCAAAATGAAAAAAAAGGGATACATGGATACAATCCACACAAAAGAATCTAATACCAACTTGATCAAAGTTTAAAAAAAAAAACAAAACAAATAAAAGCCCTGTTCTTCAACTAAACTGCAAACACATCTCAAAAATCAAGCTAATCCTCGTGACGGACTCAATCTCCGTGACGCCTCGAATATTCTCGCGCAGGCCGCCGGAGCCGTCGAGCTGGTGCCGAAAGCCGTCGACTGCTTCTCGAGCGCAACGTGGCGGGGGAAGGGGGCGCGTGAAAGCCACTCTCGTCGCTGGCCATTGAGCTGATGGTGGAGAGTCCACCGGCGGCGCTCCACGGGAGGAGGGCAAGGGGGGTTAGGGTTTATGGGTGGATGGGAAAGAGTCCAAATGTTTGGTATTTATTCCCAAATTTAATTGGATAGTTAGATAAATAGGCCAGATTTTATGGGGTGGCGGGCATATAGGCTGAAATCAATAAAAAAAATCTCCACAAATTTCAAATTACATACTGGGCGGGATTTTTCATTTTTTAGTCAAAATATCCTACTCATTATATTAAAAATTTAGGCGGGAATTGCACTTTTTTTTTTGTTGATTTTCTCATTGATTTTTTCAAACAACTATCATTCCCTCTTTATATATTAATAGATTCCAATATTGTTGGGTAAAAGGCGGCACAAACAATGCAAAATACAATTATCTAAAAAAAGTAAATTAGCGTTTTAGAATTAAATTAGAGGTTTAAGAGTGAATTAAAAGTTTAATTTGTCAGAACCACTAATTTATTTATTGGGTAAGTACGTAACTTGGAGTAACTATTTGGACTTAAAATTTAAATTAAAAAAAAAAAATCAATATAGGATAGGAGGGGTTATAATTTAGATGTTTTTATATATCAACTAGCAAATTATTTACCAAATAATTATGAATAATCAACTAATTTCATCAACTAGTAAAATTTATTAATTCAATTAGCTATATATTATCATTTTCAACTAATTGAATCTGCTCTTTGCTAAGTGTCCCATGGAGCTCGCTCCACAATAGGGGCGGCTAGATGATATAGCACACATAACAATTCGATGGACTGATTAGAGTGGTTAGCTCAGGTTAACCGGTCCAGGATTGCCTTAGCTCTGTAGCATGGTCGGACTTTGTCTAGGAGCTTGGTGTAGAAGCTCGAGGTACTGGTCAACTCTGATTATGAGGTAGAAAACTAAGTTCATCAGAGATCTCGACCCGACGAAATGACTATAACAACCTAAAGCTAAAGGGTGGGGAGGTCAAGTAGTGACCTGCTAAGAAATGTGGTAGAAGTGTCATGAGGTCGGTACAATGATCTAAGGATCTAAAGGAAGACACGCTAAAGAAGGATACAAAATCCTATTCTGATTATAAGTGCATCTCGCCTAGAAATAGAGGAACTAGAAGTAATGTCATACTAAGAAACAAGATATGACAAAGATCTTTTTCCTAGTATGAGGTTGCGTGAGAAAGAAGACAAGCTTCTCATAAAAGGAAGTTTTCAAGTTCTTTTACTTTTTAACGTGCAATATATTTTAATATATTCTAGTTTATAATTACGAGCGAGATCTTTAGCTTAAGTGTCAGAGGTTTTTTTTGTCAAGACCCCTCCGTACGTATTTTGCAGATCATCTGAGCATGTGTTTAGATGTAGCTCGTGAGGTTGCAAGTTAAATCCCAATATGGAGACAATTTGCACATCAGACCTAGCCTAAAAGAAATTATTTTGTGCTAAGACAAGTGAACTATAAATGATCTTAATTAGATGTTGGTTGATAGGTTCTAGAGGTAGCATGATCAATAAACGAACTATAATTGAGTGTGTACATGCTTTTAAAATTTGATTGTGAAATTTTGGAGGACCCTTCAAGAAATAAGATCATATGTCATTAATTGTTGCACCAATTAGACAACCGACCTCTAGCAATTAGCTTTGGCCTTTAAAATATTGCATTTCATTCGTGGGAGCAGCTACACTACCGTCACAGTACCATTCTGCTTTTTTAATCTAAGTCATTAGATGTTATAAGTTATTATTAAGCATTTTCAGTGTATGAGTGTCAATGTTAAAATGTTTATGTCACATGGCAGTAATTGATTGGATTGTGATTTTTTATAACATCTCTGTTGACATCGTAAAATATAACAGTGTAAAACTATCTCACGTAATTTGTATGTGTATATTTATTTATTTTCTAGAATTAAAAACGAGAGTTAAAAAACAAATGGTCATCTCTCCAACGAAAGAGAATTTTATATTCAATCGATGTTTCTCATTTTCTTTTGTTTTAATTTCTAAAAAAGGTGTATTAACTATGAAAGTCATAAATATAATTCAAAGTGATTTATATATATATATATATATATATACATATATATATGCGAATAATAAATTAAATTAACAAAATTTTGGAATTAAATTAATTATGAGAATTAATCAGCACAAATAAGAAAGATTTGAAATTTGTTCTTCTTAAGTCACATTAATTAATTAAACTAGTATATATCAACTTAAAATCTAACCGCGTGTCAAAATATAAAAATAGATAAGTAATAACTAGTGATAGAGAGAAG